AAAAAAAAAAAAAAAACAGCTAAGTACCACCATTCGATGGCAGCACAGAATCAGAGTTCAAAGCAAAACATCGTACAAACTTACTTTCCAGAAATAAGATATACAATTATAATTCTCTCCATCTCCCAAAATAATTAGGAACTATAAAACAATGGCAAAAGATAACTCCATCTTGTTCAAATTTATGCGTACCACAAAACAATAAATATCTGGGCAACACTTAATAAGGATGAGTTTTCACTTTCTTTCCTTTCTTCTTCCATCAGTGACTTCCCCTCCACCAAACCAAAAGGCCTATACAAGATTCTATGTAAACCAACATATGTTTATTTTCTAACACAAGGAGCAAATTTTCAGTTCCTGGAAAATGTACCCCTTAACACTATAACCATTGTAAAATGTAAACTTTGCACCTTGTGAAGACTGGAAGCCAAGTTCAACTCCTACTTAACTGAATTACCTAATTCAAAATATACTATCTTGTAGCTTCTCAAACAACTTATCTAGTAAAAATGGTAACAAGAAAATAATACAGTTTGGCCAGACATTGGCGCATTGCCAACAATTAAGAAATGTGTCAAATACAAAGCATAGCAAAGATACAGAGAAAATGGTAGCTCGGGCAGGAACAATAGGTATGAGATTCACAAGGCAAAAAATGTCTTAATAAAAGCGTACAACCACCGATGTCGTGTGTAACAGCACACATCAAGACTGACCTGTGGGGGAAGACCAAGCGGCGTGAATAACACACCGTTCCTGCACATTGGAGCAAAACCCAACAGAGATCTTGTTAAGGTCGCCGCGCAAAACAGCACCGCTCCACACTGACGCGCCGTCGTAGACCACCACTTGGCCGGCCAGTACGACATTAGGGGCCACATAGGCATCGACGGCGATCTTAGGGGACCACTGTCCCAAGGGTATGGTTTTCCTCTGGCCCCTGTAGTCCCATTTCACTCGATCCGGCGATTCCCTTATGATCGGATCTGGTTTGGTCGGATTTGGGGCCGATTGGACGGCCTGCGCTGAAAAGGCTCGTCCATGAAGGATGGTGCAGAGGGGTCGGGGGAATATTCTTCTGGATGCGCGGGCTAGGGTTGCCATTTTTTCCTTTTTCTTGTTTTGCAGACAGAGGGAAGAGTTTTACACACTCCACACTGACACACTCAACACACCAAGGGAAATGACTGTTCGGCAGCACAATGGGTAGGATGAAATTTTTATTTAGGAAGATCCTATGTATAATGGGTAGTTTATTTAAAAGGGATAGTCAACTTATAAATTTATTTAAGTAACCCTCTCAACACTTTTTTTTTTGTTTAAGTAACCCATTCTTTAAATAAAAGGTAAATAAATAAATGAAATGCCTAAAATATCCTTAGATAGGAAATGAAAATGACTCTACTACCCTTCTTATATTTTGTGTATCAATTTTGTAATAAAAAAAAATAAAAAATCAAAAATCAAAAGCTGGGA